TATGTAGCCCCTTTACTTTGGGTTGCACCACCTCCGGAAAACAAGATAAACGGTACAGCGCACCCCACATTATCTGAGTTTCTCGCAGGCAACTCTCCACACGCTCTTTCACTGGGCTCCTGAACCACCTCTGTGGACTCAATCGTGTATATAACTCAGCTTCAGTATGTCAATCTTGCGCCCAAACATTTAACGCCTGCTCCGTACCATTGGCCCGCGCATCTGGTGCATCAGGCGATGCCCCATCTGTTACAGTATGCCGTGAACAGATTATCCCCGGGAAGTCCTGTGATCCATATGTTATTCCCACAATGTGCTCACAATTTTCGAACGCCAGAAGTCACTCAAACATGACAGGCGGCTACTCACTGGAGTCGGTGCAATCGCGGAATGTAGTTCGCATCCGCCACTCAATGATAACAGCTCAAAATTATTCTAGAACCACCTACCTTGAGCAGCAGCGCGTGGGATAAGCTGGAAAGTTACTTGCTGGAGATACCTAACCAGCTGGAAATGGCAATTCAGTAATGCTGACCTAGCTTACTTTCTGCGGACGAAGTATTTCGCGCCTTTTAGTGCAATCACGATGTCTCTGTCTCAGACGGGCGTTGGCTGGCAAATTCGCCGTAGGCGTGGCCCACCCTGGGCCAGTGGACAAAGCTTCCGTCCGCTATACCCGATTGTGTGCCTCGATGGAACGTCTGTGGTAAACCAAGTGGCCGGGGTGCTTATACTGACCTGTGTTCACTGCATTTAATGTGCTGTGCATGGTCTGCAAAGGACGACACCGGACCGCTTAGTAAACTGAACCATCAACACAGGCGGCCAGGTACCAGATGAGCTGCAATAACAGCCGAATACACCACCATGGTGGCTATTCAACCGTTATTTAAAGTTTACATGCAGTTGAATGGCAATTATCTGACAGCCCAGCAACCATCAAACACGATTATTAGACGGCTGTAAACCAGTTACATGACATACAAACGCGGTTCACAGTTCGTTTTTAACCTTCAGATAACCAAAAAGCGGTTATATGGCGGTTCTGGTGGTGGAAGCAACCACCGAAGAATCATGCTGGGTATTTATTAGACAGTAATAGAACGTTCCATTAACCGGAAAACTATTTTTCGACCCCATGTACTCCTTAAGATATCGCACTTGCACTTTCCTTCACCCACTAGCACCCTGGTGGTTTCGCAAGAAACCCATCAACACCATGAAGCATTCTCCGTTCTATCGATGATTCGGCGCAACTTTTCCCGAAATTACTTTTATGGACTTCGAAATACTCTATGAGGCCTACGTCAGACCACTCCTCGAATGTAGTAACAACATCGTCTACTCAAGACGCACGAAGGACGTAACCCTCATTGAGCGTGCCCAGCGAGTTGCTGGGAAAACGGTCACAGGCATTGAATACGTGGACTAAGAAACGCGTCTTGTGGTTCTTGACCTCTTTCCCCTGGAGTATTGTCGCCTCCGAGGAGATCTAATTCTTGCTTATGTCCTGTTTGAACAATGCTTGGCAAACAGTTTTTCACCGTTGACCCAGCAAGCACACGGTGGGGGCATAATAAGATTTTTCAAGCTCAGATTGCACACATTCATCGGACAAAATTTCTTCTCATTTCGGGTAGTAGCTGCGTGGAATAACCTTCCTCCGACCGTTGTCCACGCTCTTTCAAGAACCCAGTTTAAAGAATTATTGGACATTTATTTATGCGAATCCTCGCGCTGGCAAGCAAACTGCCCGGCGGTGAGAGCCTAAAGTGCAGTCCCTTTCAGGTGAAGCACAACCACTGACCGACAAGAACAAAACCGACCCGGGAAACTGGGGCAAATACGTTGATCCTGCGTATCAATCCGTGAATCCGTGAAGTTGAGCCAATCAGATTTCGGAGAATTACGCAACCCGGCTACACTTCCATTGGGTCTTCTGTCGGCTGCGGATCTCCCCCCAGCGTGTTGAGTTCATTCCTGATGTTGCTGAGCGATAGCCTGAGCAGAACTCCCAAATCCGGCTTTCCATACTATGTTTCGAGAATATGTTCAATTCTGCGAATTACTTTTCATTTTGGCTACATACCTTTCGTGATTTACCTGGGGATCACGAACCAGGGACATCCACTCGAATACCCGATCACTTTGTGGAATGTCTTATTGCCACTGTCCCTAGGTCAGTAGGAAGCAATTATATGATTTATCATAATATCTAAATAAACACAGTGCCATATGAGTGGACTTTGTTCTAAAATCAATCATTATTTGCTGGTTGGGACGGCCCAGCAATACATAGCCTTCCTGCTCGAATGAGCAACAATAAAGGAGATCAGTTTGGTTTTAGTCCCTACAAGTCGACAAAAATCAGTTGATATCCAATAGTTGCAGTTAAGATGGCGTGGAATGGATGACGAAAACCTATTCGGCACGTGGGAAGTAGAGGCTATAGACCCCATCACCATGGTTTCATTAAACCGGTTTATACACCCCCAGTTTTGGTCGAGAAGGTAAAGTTTGGATTAAAGTGAGAAGTACACTTAATTAATTCAAGCAGTTCGTTGGATATGCTATCTCAGTAGGCGTACGGGAACTTCTCGGCTAGGGCGAAGTCCCGCTCCAGGGAGGGCAGGAGCAGAACTGAAGCTGGTGTGCAACTCATTTGAGTTAGCCGTGTTTCAGAGGCTTGGACGAAAATGTGCTGTTAAGCTAGAGGAGAGTCAGATGGATGCCTCGGAGGAACTGCATGTCGCACGGATACCCCCAGTATTGCTCAGTGGGTCCCGGAGCCACATAAACCGTCACACCACGGTAGGGTCGAGTCTCTTGGTGGCAGCAAAGTAAAAACGATGGAGGTAGGTTGAACCAGCTCGACGTAGATTGTAAGTCAGGCAAGGTACAAAATGTCAAGGGCCAATCTGTGTAATAATGATGGAAAGCAACACGAGACTTGCTCGCCATTATCAACTGTAATAACCGCGTACTTGTACTACAGTGGTTATGGTTACCACCGTTTAGATCGCCGATGATTTGGAGACTTTGGGTAGGTAGCTGCACATTGAAGGCGGTAGCTAATATAATTAGCGCGTAAATACATGGTTGTCAGTAAACTTTTAATTAGAGAGATTGAGCTATGCATTGAAGGAAATAGCTTGGGTGCATGAACGCAATCGAGGGCGCGACTGCGTCATCTCTAGAAATGTCTAGCCGTTGATGTGCCCCATTTCGGGATCCCCATCCAGGCGCGAGACTTGATAATACCAAAAATTATCATGAAGTTCTTAATCCAGTTTGTACAGGATACTACTTACTCTACTCGATCTTGAGCAGATATCGTATGCGTTGTCACGAATGTATGACGAAGTGTGCCGAGCACATCGCACACGTGATGGTGCTTACAAAACTGTTGGTAAATTTTCGACGGCGTACGTTCACTGTCCTAAACAGGAGGCTCAGCTGAAAAACAGTTGAGTCCGCCATCAACACCGGCTTATTTCGCCATCTGCTTACGCCTTGGTATTAAAATAAACCACAAGGCTGACGGAAATTCACGGAATGCCTCTGTCGGATAGGTTTTAAGAAGGTTGAAACAGGTGTGGGTTGTCGAGTAGTAGTGTTATGACCTCTCAAGATAGTTCACTGCGATATGATCGATATCGTGCCAACTGATACATGAGGCGGCCTTCGTGCAGGATGTTCATTTGGAGAACATGGTAGACGAGAGATTCGACTAAAATTCGGTTGAGTCCTCTACTATCACCAACTTCATTTTGCAACTTATTTAGCTACGTTGATCACACTACATGGATGAAAATTGATACAGCGGTAAAACTACGGAGCCTCTTTGACCCACACCGACTGCATATGTAGCGCAAGGTGGGTGTGCTTGATGTGCAGAGCTAGTCGAAATTCTAGACGGTGGCCCTTACGTTTGCAAATGAGCTGCCAACTGTGTTCGCATTCTTGAATAGGTTCTACAATGACAAGTAGCACACCTTGTGTCATTATTGTCACCAAAAATTCCTTTCTGGCAATATTAACACCCAATTCTCCTTACCACCGCTCCAGAATTTCCTTGTAGTGAACAAGCCAGTGTCCCACTGCACAACGTATATTTCCTCCGGGTGTTTATAATTTCTGTTCTGCACTTTCCTAATGCCAGTTTCACCTCGGGCTTGTAGGTAGTAGTTGTGGTGCCTGGTGAAGAACAACCACCGTTGCTTATATTCATTAGATTGGACACGATCAGCAGCTCATTCGTACCTACTGTTAGGATGGGTGTACCAGCCGACGGTATGGAGGTGACCGGAAACATCCATTCCACCATGTGAAGTGGGGATATACGACTTGCTTTGCCATCCAAAGCAGAATGATGCGTGTAAGCAGCGTAATTAACAACGCTCCGTCGCGTGTCCCATTAATCTCCCCGTGCAACTGTGTGAAAACTTAACGATGTGGTGCGATGACCGATGCTTAGTTAGTTTTAGTAGTGTCGAAACCTAGGAACAGCCCTGGTAACATTGTTTGGTCGCCTAATCTACATGTTTTTTCGCCAGCATTTATGGCAGCTAGTCACTTTTTTGCGGTCGAGATTGATCTCAGTGGTAGTAATGAGATGATGGCTTTTCCGAACAACGTTTTGCCATATTCTCATCTCGTTTTGTTCTTCAGCTAGCATTTAATGGATCTGTTCTTTTTCTAAAAAGACTCCCCGCCAGAGAACATACCGGGTAGATCCTCCTCAAGCCTATGTTAAACAAGCGGAATAGTATTAAGTAATAGTGGGTGTTTTTGAAACGATTTTTCTCATCGCCGAGCAATACAACGAAGTCACTTTATGGAGACTGGTTCTGGTGACTCGGCCTGGCAGATGTCCCCTACTGTTGCTGCCTGTGAACAGTAATCGGAGGTGTGGACCGCATAGAGAAATCCAAATACTGGTTCCGTGAACGAGCTTGAGCTGCACTTCTCCATGTTCAGGTTGTCAGTCTCTAAGACGGCAGCACTCGTCCGGGCACGATGAAGGAGCAAAGGTAGGTTAGCAACGCTCGCTTTCAGGCAGCATGCCCGAACCGTTGAAGTCGTCGTTGCTGCAGCGATTACTTGAGATTTTATACCGAAGAATCTAAACATCGTGTCGTATTCTTTGTCGAGCGTTCGAATGTGTCAGATGCGCTTTACATACAGCTGGTAAAAAGACCTCGAGTGTGGAGAGGCCTTGTGCGCGATTGCCGCTTTGACTGCATGAATTTGTGTGCCGGCTAAGTTCACTTTCCCATGGATTACATAAGTTCACATCCTGCTGCATCAGTACATAGGTCAATCTTTTTAGCCCGCCCGTCTTGTAGATGGATAACACAATTATAGTTCAGTTTCATAACCTACGGGGAGGGTTACCTACCGAGCACTTTCTTGCATGGAGTATTCTATCTTGCTAACGTCCACTGCTATTCCGGTTAGTCCTGTGTGATAAGCAACTTAATACAAAACGACTAGTAGATCTTTTTTGAGTGGGACAATGTCGCTAGCATATTTGGCGCCTGTCCTT